CTGAGAATAAGGATGAGGCCCAGATTACAATTTCATTGTCCCCATGAGACTGTCAACAGCACACAAGCCAAGCACAGGCATGGGAGACTGCCAGTCTTACTATAATTTAGTCATTTTGAGGAGCTCCATAGCTCTTTCAGTGCCACAAACATGGTGAATAGAGTAAGGGAAGAGATAGCGTGAGTAATCTTGGCTTAAAACTAAAAAACTTAGGCTGGAAAGACAGACTGTTACAATATTATTTTTTTCTTTCTGTAGGTAGTGGACAAATAGAGCTTAGTTTCCTATGGGTTTATATCTTTCTTTATTTTCCCATGTAAATCTTATTATCACAATAGCCTCTGTTTATAACTGTGACTTTTATGACATCCAAGCTAGTGCTTATTGGTTAGCAGGGTGGTGGCAAATGTTGCACCTGACATCTTTCTGCTTGTTCTTCAATGGAAGAACCAATTTTGATGTCTTTTTGCTGCCAGAGCTAGGAATTATATAGATTTTTTGCACATGTACCTGTTTCCCCAAGTATATAGCCTTTTGAGCTACTGTGGGACGAGAATATGGAGGGTAACTCACTATTGAAAATTCCAAATTCACTTGCTACACAATCTGAGTTCTCTCTTATTTGTCATTCTGCATAGGAAAAAAAATGCAGCATTACATGTACTTGATGCTTAAATTATAAAGGTGCTTTAGAAATGTAATGTGTTGATGGCTTTCTTGGGAGTGGTTGTTGTTTGAGGATAAAGGGAACCATAATGAAGACCTTCCTTCATCCCACCCTAACCTTCCCTCTCATTCTGAAGAGGCAAAAGCTTTGACTTAGTGAGAAAGTGGTTTCTGAGTTACAACTCTGGATGAACGGGTGCAGAGTGGCATCAGAGCATGCTCTGCACTGAGTGAAGTAGATGGGCTTCCCTGCTCCCTTCCTTGTCAGCGAGCAATCTTTGATGCTTGCCTGTCTATATCTCTTACTTCTCTCTCAGGAACTGGATTATCAGAAGAGACGCGTGCGGGAATCAGGGGACAGGTTTGTTCCCGTCATGAGCGATTTCATCACTGTGGCCAGTTTCAGCTTCTCGGAGTTAGAAGACCTTCTCAATGAGGCTAGAGACAAGGTAAGAATAACTTTTGAAGTGTTTGGGGTTTCACTGGCTCAGTAAAAAGCCTGAATCAAAATGGAAGCAGCAATTTCAGCTGCTGGGACTGTAGTGAAAATTTTAGTAGACACTGAAAGTGTTTAGGCTGAAGTTTCTTGTTTTTCCTAATCTTGTCTATAGCAATTTAGAATATGTTTTAGGATTAAAAGAAAGTTCAATGGTCTTGCTCACTTCTTGCTAATCTTCCTTAGAAGAAGTAGTTATCCATGTGTGACATAGAGTTGCAATGGCAATGTCTGTACCAGGATACCACACTGTGCTGTGGTGTTGAAGGGACTTTTGAGAGATTGCCTTTTAAGCAATCTCTCAAAAAGAGATCATTGGTCATTAGTGATAGTGACCTCATATCTTTTATCTTCTGCTTCTGACTTGATCCCACTCTGTTCATTCAGCTGGGAATATTTGTGCCTCATTTCATTCCTTTTAAAATGCACCTCTGGGTAGTTTGGTAACCCTGAATACCTGATCTTTTCAGCTTATACTTCTCTGTTACTGGTTGTATTTCATTGCATGAATAGAAATCCCAAACATGTGTGGTTTGTCCGACATTCTTGGATCCCTCTTACACAGCCAGCACTGTGTGCATGTTACTCTTCAGGTGCTGCTGTGATCATTTTGTCCTTTCACTGTCTGCACCTCCATTACCAGATTTGTACAACTAAGGAGGACCTTGTTCTTTGCTGATGATTGGAGTCTGGCACTAATCCCTCTGTCTCTCAGCCGAATGAGGAAGAATTTATATGAAAAGATCATGAGCATATGAAAATGTTTAGAGAAGAGCAAGGTCTAAAGTAAACGCTATGTAATGGCAAATCTGCCCTTGTTGGCTGGCATGTTAAAAGTGCTTGGCTTTATGAAGCAAATGTGATTTCTTTTGGATTGAATTGTTTCCACCGCTGGTGTCAATCCTTGCAGCGTTAAGGGACCTATTGCATTATTAATGAAACCTGTGCTGTTAGGTTGGTAGGTTTTAGATTTTGAAGTATAGGCAAAATGCAGGCTGAGGACCTGAACAGTGAGACTCCTCGGTCATCCTGTCGCTCTGCAGTAATGTCGTTTTTTTAATTCAAAAGTATTTCCATGCTGTGGAGATAATGTTAGTAATACTGACTTACAGCTGTGAACACCAGGGGCTACTGGCTGTCAGCTAGAGCTAGCTGTCCTGGCAAATGCCGGTGGGGCAGTAGTTGTTACAACACTCGGAAGGCAAAGCTGAGCAGTCCTACCACTTCTTAATGTTGTCCGTAAAATTTGTGGAGAAGTAACGTGCCTAATTTTTTCATTGTTGTCATGTTGCTTGAGAAGACTCAAACCCATTCCAGCATAATAATATTCACACCATACTGGCTTTATAATCATAAACCCAATGTTTTACATTCTATGCCTCCACTACATTTACTGAGAAAAGCTCAATTTTCTATGGTTTGGGGGCTTCTGTTTTACAATGGGGTAAATTTTTCAACTTCATTATAGTTAGGTATGCATTTCTGGAAGCAAATTGATTCTGTCCTTGGCTTAGAATGCCCACTTTACATTCAGTGTTATAGGTGGTGGTGGTCCTTTTGGCACACTAGGACAAAAAGTCCAATGTGGTTTCTTTACAAGGTCAGTCAGGGGTTAAAAACCAGCAAGTGGTACATGTCCAGCACAGCAATGCAACTTTTCTTGATCAGTCACTTGCAGGAAAAATACCGTTCTTTTGCTTTAAGAATAACCAGAGAATCTCCCTACAAACAGACCAATATGTCTGGAAGTTGTTGCATGCTTTTTTAGACATAGCCAACATAAAGCACTCGACATAAAGAGATGTTTTATTTTAATGACTATAACATGCTTAGGAAACATTTTTCTACCTTCTCCTAGCACACCCTTACTATGTTTGAACACATGCCATTCCAACTTCTGCTCAACCTATGGCTTTGGTTCTTCCACTGGCAAAAAAATGCTTTTGGACTCCTAAAAGGGAACTGTCTGTCCTTACCAATGCTGAGCTATTTCTCATGTTTGCCTCATATTATTTTTCCCCTCTCTTCTTCCTCTTTTTCCTCTTTTTTTCTGAAAAAAAAAAAAAAAAAAGCTGGAAATTTTCAACAAACCAGATGTGCTTTGCAATGCCTATAACGTCTTCCAACCTCAATGGGCTCTCTGTGTTTGTTGAATCACAAGCTTTTTCCTTGCCATGGAAACCTACAATGTTAGGTTTATTAGCCAATTAAAGGAAGAGAGGGACTAAGACATCTGATTATCCTGTTCTTTTTTTGATTTCTCAAAGCAAAGCAAATTGAAAAAATGGTAGTGGGAGAGGGAGGACTTTTAAAAATATCCTAATGAGCCCAGGAAGAATTGGTCTGGTTCACAGATTTATTAGTAATAATGAAGCCCTAGTTTTAACAGCTGGAGTTGGATATCCTTCTAAATATAGATGTGGCTAATTGATTGCCATAAGTTAATCAAAACCATGTTTCCTCAGCTGGGATTTAAAACAATACAAATTATCTTTTCAAACCTGGGAAGTTTTTTATTTTTTTTAAATGTCTTTAGTATTAGCAAAAGTCATTCCTGTATTCCTTTAAGTTATGGAAACAATCCATTACCAAGGTGTGGTGCTGACCTTCTCTGCAGAGGATATTTTTCACAATCCTATGCAGTACTTTTTTTGGCTTTTTTGCTTAAACAGGACCATTTACAGTTAGCGGCCATGGGGAGGAAGTGATATTTTAAATTTAAAGGGCCAGGTTGTCAGACACAGGCATCCATGTTTGCAGAGGAAGCCTCGTAACTGTACTTATCTTCATGCAGTAAACAGATGGCTTGGTTAAGAACCCATTGAAAACTTAGACTGACTCTTTAAACAGGCTCCCTAGCACAGCTGGTTCTTGTTCTTTTTGTGTTTTTCTCACTTTCAATACCACTTTATAAGGGAATATATAGATTAGATCAAGGGATAATATTTTCTGCCATTTTCCATAAACTGGAAGGTGGGGGTAGGAGAAAGGGAAATACTGCCCTGGAATCCTTCACCAGTTTTTATACATTCAAATAGATGAAAAAATGACTTTTTCACATCAGAAAGAACAGAATGGGGTTGAATTTTGTTTGTGAAAATTTTTCCCTGTGCTTCCTATGGGGAAAGAATGAAAATGCCCAGCCAAAGGAACAGTGACCTCCCGTGGTATGAATTCTATTTTCCTACGTGAGAAAGGGGACATTTGCCCTATATGAATCTTCACAACATACTTAAATGTTGACAGGTATGAACTTAGATTGCTAAACTGCTTCATAACTGTTCTTCTTTGTGCTTGGTTTATAACAAACCTGAATGTTTTGGATCTTCCTAGAACAAAGTCTGCTTAGTCAGGTATTACCATTCCTATGATGAATGTCAAGCGTCTCTATAGAAGCACAAAGGAGGCCACTGCCTGGGCAAGGCTGATGAGGAGGGTAGGAAAGCTGTCCATCCCCAGTCTTTCTCATGACAGCTCCTCTAAAGCAGGGTGTGTATCATCATGGAGACTGGAGTTCAGACTTTCCACATGCATTTAATAAGCTTAGCACATATAGTAACTGTTTTGAAGAACAGCAAGGCAGCGAAAGACAAAATCCGGTTAAGAAAATCATCATTAATGGCAGAATGGTATGAAGCACAAAGACATACAGCAGTCCAAATGCCAGATACAGGCGGTGCACTTCAGCGATTCATTTTGGGGAACCAGTATTTTCTGTCAGCCACTGGGGCTAATGAATAAGGAAAGGATGAGGATGGAGACTGAGTAGGTCAAGATGGGGTGTGTTACCAAGGTCACGGGCAGGCACCACAGCCTGCTGTCAGAAACAACCATTTGGTAAATAAATTATGTAGCTGTTGTACACCAACTTAGAACTGCAGATGTTTCAGGGCAGGTTGGCATCTAAACACATCAGAAATGTTTATAGCACCTGTATCTTGATTTTGGGCCTCCCAGAGTCACTTTCAAACTCCTAGGATAATTCTAGAAGAGCATTTAGGCGCCAAGAGAGCTAGGCCCAGGACTGCTTGAAGTTGGCCAGGCTCTTTCCATTAATGGATCTGAAACTGATTTGAACTGCCTTGGTTCAGGATTGGAGTCTTCATAACAGCAAACTCAAGATCACTTGTCTGGGGAAGACAGTTCATGTTGCATGGCTACATGGTGTAATTCATTTCTGCATTGGCTCCTCCCGCAACAGCAGACAGGACCGACAGCAGGGAATTTTTATCATGGCTGTTTTTCCTCCTCCTCATAGAGCCCCGTTCCTGCCATTTCCAGAGCTCTTCTGCCACTGTTTAACATTTCATTGGCAAGCACAGCAGAGAGTGTGTGCGCTGCTGTCCCGCTTTCCCTCTCCCTGCTAAAATGGCTTTTAAAAATAAACAACTGTCTAAACGATTTGCTTTGGCAAGAGGATGAATTCAGTGGAAAGTTTGGCAGAGGAAGCGGAGCTGGCACTGGTCTCATGGACCTGTTATATCATGGAGCTTGGGGGCCCTTATGGTGTGGAAATGAATTTTTTAATGAAAAAAAGAGATACCATCCTGTATTACAGTGGAAAACCTGCTGAAACACAGTTTTCCATCTTGCTTTTGCCCATGTCATCTGTCCCCGAATGACTTCAGTAATAAGCAAGTTTCAGCCCTTGTTCTGTGATATTATAGCACGTCACAAAATTCTGGGAAGAGTTTTGCATGCATGAGGACTTAGCTACAGATTTCACGGTTGTGCACAAGAGCAGGTACTCTTTGGCAGGGAATCTGCCCGTGGAGCAGTCGAGTGATTTGTACAGGGTGACACAAGTCCACAGAAGAGAGGGCTGGGGTCCGGAGCACCTCAGTCTGTCTGTGCTGCCTCTTGCACCCTGAGCAAGGCAGACAGTGTGTTTTTAGCCACTGTGGGCAGGTGGGAGCCTGAGCTTCTCACCACCATTGGGGAGGCTACCTCCAGCAGCTCACTGCCCCTTGTCCCAGCACCGGTGCTTTGAAAAAGCACATGTGATCACAGAACCAGAGCTACGAGGAAATAGAAGTAATAAAAATGGAAGGGCCTGTTGCAGTTTAAACAGTGAAAAGACAGCGTGGCACTCTTTACAATAGTGCATTGAGTTGATGTAGTGCCCTACAGACATGAACAACTGATTTTTTGCCATTTCCTATGTCAGATTAGTGGGGCAACATTTTCTGTTCTGTAACAAATGGAGAAAGGAAGGCTCAGAGAAGGAGCATGAGTTCCCAAGCCACATCATGGGCAGAGTTGGCAGCAGAGGCTGGATCTCCTGACTTGCCTTCCTCTGCTCAGTCAGCTTTTTTCCGGAGGCGGTAGAGAAAGAAGGAAAATGTTTACTTCAGTGAACTGCAGATTTCTCTGTTGTAGTTCTTTTGGTACATCTAGCTCACACATTTTTGCTTTTCGTCTTTCAATGCTTTACAGTAAGTGATTGTGACCTACTAAGCCTTGTTACAGGGCACCAAAGAGGGGCTGTTCTCAGCCTCCTCCTCACTAAAGACCACAACACCTTATACTCCTAAGTGTCTCTGGAAGGCTCCCAGGCTGCTGCGTCTTTCCAGCACAGCAACACCGTTTCTCCTCTGAGTGGCAGTGGGGAGGCAGTGGCAACAGCCCCTCTGCCAGTGTGACAAGAACTAGCTGGTGCTGGTAGTCGGGTGACAGGCCATGTGCAGAACATTTGCAGACAACACCACCCTCTAATGGAGACTCCCATGTATGTAGGATCCAAGAGGCCCAGGCAAGAACCCCCTCCTTTTCAACCCTCAGCCTCCCTAAGAGACTAGGAAACCCCTATGGGCATTCATGGGCTCAAACCAGCTTGGGTCCTGTGTGCCCCCTCATTCACCTTTGCTGTGCACAGGAGGAACGCAAGGGATGGTGACAGCACATCGTCAGGTACAACAGCCGTCTCCTGTGGGGTCCTCCTGGACTTCAGGCTTCATAGGAGGTGGACAAGCCTTCCTTCTAGCTGGGAGCTCTAGTTACTGTTCTTAATTTGTGCCTTATTTTCAATTTGCATAGGAGTTAACCAGAAGCTAAATGGGAAGAGTTAGGTAGCGCATCTCCTGTGAGCAATGAGCTTCTGATGCTCTATGCGCTCAAGCAGCGGTGGCAATGCCTGTGCTGAAGTCTTTTTCTGGCATTACTGCTCCCCTGGCTGATTGACACGTGGAGCAGGCAAGCCAAGAAAATATAGGGCATGGAGATGCATTATCTCCCTCTGTGGTATTGACCGCCGGTATTGTCTCTGCTGAAGAACTGGTGCTGGTCAGTGTGGATTAGTGAGAGACAGCTGCGCTTTCCTAATATTCAAGCAGACTGGGTACATTATATGCAGAGAAAATGCATATATACAGAGAGGGGTGGGGAGAGGGAGTAGGTGTGCATACTTGTGTGTATGTGTCTTCAGAGGTTTCAGAAACTAGGAGTTAAAACAGAGAAATAATCTGCTGCTGTTTACATGCTCTGAAGTCCCTCTTTGACTTGCTGCTGCAGTGCTTCCTTCAACTCCTGCCATGTTTGGTAGCTCAAAGCAACTTGCATTTCTTCCAACACTTTTTTTTTTCTCCCCAGATACTTTGGGTTTCTTTGTTTGTTTCTGGCTGAGAACGCAGCCTTTTTAAAGAAAAAAGAAGCTATTGCTTCAAACTGCTTTGTGGGCCTGGCAGGGAAAACAGAGGAGAGGAGACGCAGAATCTCTCAGACTGTGCCAGAAGGAAGCTGCTTTCCTTGGAGATTTCTTCCCCCTGCAGTTGACTGGGAGACATTGTTTATGCTTGACCTGGTCCAGGGCCAGAGGGGTTTATAACGCCTGCTTCCAAGCTCACTTTTTCCTTGGGATTGGAGCCTGACCTGTTCTTACTCTTTTCCATTCCGCAAGAGCACCCAGCTAAGGAAAGGGAAGCTGGGCTGTGTTAGTATGAGCTGAATATATGCACAAGAGAGTTTGAAGGCAGTCCATAGCCTGGGAGAGTCTGGGTTTGGTTTGGTAAATGCTGAGGTCTGTAGGATGCTCTGGTGCTTAGTGGTGGTCTGTTAAAGTGCTAGCAGGGAATGCTAGGAGAGCTGTGCATTGGGCACCAGTGCCATCAGCAATGTGTTGCTGGTGCTGCCTGTTGCGATACGGAGGTGTGTGAATGAAGGTAGCTGGACAATGACACAGCTTTTGGATGTGTACACTTATATAGGACTTAAGGGACATGTGCGTACATGCTGTTGACGGACTGTTTGTGCGTGCATTTGGGTGCGTTTTGGTGAGTACAGAGGCATGCTTATGAGTGTGAGAGAGCAAAGGAGAGAGTACAACTACTGCAGGACCGATGTCCAAGAGCCAGGGGTTGCTGTGAATTTACCATATCCCAATCAGGACTGCCCTGTGACTGAAGTCCTGCCAGTTGGCTGCCTCCACATGCATCCTGCAGCCTCAACATTTGCCTTTTAAAATAAAAGCCACTTGTGATGTATTCACTCTCTTTTAAGTCTGCCCGGGAGCCCTGGCTGCTTTCCTTGTCCCTCTCTCATGCCATGTCTGTCCATAGTCTCCTCTCTCCCAGGCAACACCCTGACTCAGAGGACTCCAGAGTGAGGGATGACATGGCAAAAGGCTGCTGAGAGGACAGACTGTAACATTATTGCAAAAAAAACCTTCTAACTCCAGCCATTTAAAATGCCGATTTGAGGGGAAGGTGGAAGGGGAAAGGATGGGCTAAAACTTCTTGTTAGGTAGTTAGTTAGGTAGTTAGGTAGTTAGGATGGACTAAAGCTACTTGTTTCCCCAGCTAGCTCACTGTCTTCCGTGCCCCTGCTGTCCCACAGCTGGAGCTGAGATGTGGCCAGATGTGGTCCTCTGAAATTACTCCATCACCCTCAGGCACTGAACATGTTGTTTTTTGTGTAAGTGGACAGCCAGTGCTCTCCAGCATGGTTGCCCCGTGTTGCCCAAAGGATATCCAGGAGAGCAGATTCTTCACAGACAGAGGCACCTGCCTTAAGGGGAAGCACTTCTGTTGCTGGGGGGTAGTTTCTGCTCTTGCCGCATGAATGCTCAGAGGGTATTGAATTACATGTGTGGTTACTCATAATCTTTCCTCGCCGTCTTCACCATACTGCCTGCCTAATTATTGCTCTTGTGTTTTCTGCCCCCTTGACAGTATGCCAAGGCACTGAAGCATTTCGGAGAGAATGAGGGCAAGATGCAGCCAGATGAATTTTTTGGCATCTTTGACACTTTCTTACAGTCATTCGCAGAGGCCAAGCAAGATCTGGAGAATATGAGGAAGAAAAAGGAAGAAGAGGAGCGCAGGGCACGCATGGAGGCCATGGTGAGGACCCTGACACAGGAAGGTGTTTCTTTCCATCGCCTTTTCATGTCTTGAGAGAACAGTTGAGAACGCCAATTCCAATGCTCGTGTCCTGTCAGTGTCACTGTTTTATGTCCTTCTCCCTGCCACCTCTCTTTGGCATCGTTCCCTTCACAAATGCTGACATTTTTCGTGCTGGCTGTCCTCTCAGCTCTCAGGCACGAACTGTTTGGCTCCTATATTACCCTCTTTTGGGTTCAGATACCAAATCTAGCCCTGCCTGTTCTGCCCCAGCCCTTTGCAGGATGGTGCTGCCCCTGCCCAGTGCCAGACTGTCCTGCTGTCGGGCTACAGGCTCTGTGCAAAAGCTCTGGGAGCCAGATCTCCCTCCGTCCTGCCAGCTGGTCAGCTTCCACTCAGACTCCATCATCATCTGCTGCGTGCCTGTCGCCTGACAGCACACGGTGACACAGCAAATGCCCTGGCGCCTGCTGCAGCCCACACTGGCAGTATTTCTTCCTGGCCAGCCTTGATGGCTTGATTGCTGGGGCTGCGTCTGGCCTTGACATGGTGAGAGAGCTTTTGTGCATCATTGATTTTGCTGCTGGGAGACAGACGTGTGTGTCCCCAGGGGTTCGTGTGAACCAGCCTCCCCCTCTAACCTCAGCCTTCCCTGAGGCCTGAGAACGGCTCAGCAGCAGCTGCCTCCATCCCTCCTGCTGGCGCTTTAGCCCTGCCTGCCGCCATGGCCCCAGGCCTCGCTGTGGGGAGTCGCTGCTTTAGATTTTTTTCTGTGCCAAAAGCACTGGTTTACGCCTTTTGGAAGAGGAGAGAGGTAAAAAGCCAGGATGTCAGCAACCTTACTGTTGGACACGGGGATAAAATGCCAGGACTTAGGATCAAATTTCCTCTCAGCCAGCCTGGAAAGTGCAGGAGCCTGCTGTTAAAGCACTAGGACAGTTTCATAGGTGTAATACACCGTGAGAGAGGTTGCAGTTTGCTTATGGAAAGCCATGTGGTCCTACAATGTGGGGCTAGTCCACAGAGTGAGCGACCTGCTTCCGAACAGCTGCATCCATCCCTTGCCATTTCCACTAATCTTGGAGCTGAGCAGTGGAGGGGGATAACTGAGCTCTCTGGAGCTACTCTGGGGAGACCGAGGGCATCGCATTGACAGGTGGACCTATCCAATGATTTGTAAAATCAGCAGTTCTGTTTCATTGCTCTTTGTGTTTATAACCAGTTTCTCTTCCCAGAGTTGAGGCAATGTGCCATCTTCTTCCCATCACTGCAACACACTGCCTCCATCCAAACATGAGCTGTTTGGCGGACAGAGTTTCTGTTGATGTTTTAATATCTTGCACAATTTTCATTCTCCAGTGTGTTTAGCTTGTGGCTTTCTGGGGCTTTTCCTTTCTCCTTTTCCTCCTTTTGCAGGACTGCAGCCTTTCTACCTGTCAATTTAGCTGGCTATGCCCCAAGCACAAAGCTTGTTTGTGACTATAGTAGTGACTGTGGTTGGTAGAGACACATCAAAACTAACTTTAAACCCAGTAGGCTAGGCACTGTCAGCATAGTAGTAGGTGCTGCCACACTAAGGTCACTGCAAGCCTGGTCCCAGAAGCTGGGTAATTACCTATGCATCACTGGTAGACCGTCATTTGGCACAGTTACTTTGATGGCACTATCCTACTGTAAAATTAGTGCAAAACAGCAGCAGCGTAGACAGATTCCATGCGTCCTCTTTGCTCCAGGGTGGTAGTGCTTTGCAAGGCAGACATATGACGCTACTCATTCCTCATTTCTCCTGCTCTCTGCTTGCCTGTGTAGAAGAAGGGAAACCCAGCATAGTTGCCTGTTGCTCTTGGCACAGGTGATGGCCTTGTGGATAAGCTCCCGATCTCTTTTTTTCCCCTAAAGTGTATTGATACATCTTAGCTGCTTCTTGGCAGTGTACCTAGTGATCTGGTATCTCGGTTGGCTAATCCTAAATCTCTGTGTCTTTCTCCACAGCTAAAAGAGCAGAGGGAAAAAGAGAGGCGACAAAAGAAAGCAAAAGGTGGAAGCATCTCCGAAGAGGGTGGGGAGTTTGATGACCTGGTGTCAGCGTTAAGGTCGGGTGAAGTCTTTGACAAAGACTTATCCAAGCTCAAGCGTAACCGCAAGCGTTCGGGGAACCAAGGCTTAGAGACAAGCCGGGAGCGGGTGGTGACAAAGCTAAATTATTAATTACAAGAGGAAGAAAACTAATCAACCAAAAGAAGGTGATGAAAAAGTGCAAAACAAGGAAGATGAATGTGTGTGATGGCCCCTGGCTGACAGCTGCCTCAAAGGATTTCTTCAGTCTGTGGCTAGAGATGTTACCTTTCCATGATCAGCTTTCCTCTCATCCCTCTTCTGTGGTCCTAATTTGAACCATTAAAAAAGTGCCTCTGCGGAGCCAGCAGGGCCTGTGACTGGGCCATGCAGAGCTGACAGATTTGCTTCTGGGAGTTTATTGTGTCATCAGAGACCTCACGGTGATGACAGAAAGTACTTGGGCCTTGCAGACTGCCTCACAGCTGGAGAAAGATAATTTTCTGTGTGCCAAAGTGAAAACTAGCCACGATCTCCATCTTGCTGATAACAAGCAAGACTAATTTCAGAGCAGCTCTGTAAACACCTGTCGCTTCTTCAAGATCTAGACTGGCCTTCAGGGGCTTGTCAAGATGTGGTTCTCAAGGTTTCCAGTTCCCTTCCAGAATTGGATTTTTATAAGCCATTGATTAGCACCTGAAAAATGCTTTTGATCTCATGTTCTGTATAGTATTTTTGTGTGGCCTACACTGTCCAAAGCAAGTGATGCTCAGAAGGAAGTAATCAGGTTCTGGAACAAATTGAAACTCTAGAATCAGGATCAACATAAAACATTCTGCAAAAGTCTTTTGGATTCTGCTTTTCTAGAAACAGTTTTCTGGAAATTGTTGATAGTTGAGCCTCGAAGCTATGAAATGCATCTTCTAGGAAAGAAGCTCTGGCTTTTCTTTAGAGAACTAAGCCACTGCCAGGTTGGAATTACAAGTAAATTACTGCAGAGCCTGTTGTCATTGCTGGAGGGTGGGAGGGGAACAGCAGAACATTTCCAACCTGTTTGTGCAAGATTTCTTAGTGCAGCCCAATGGAAATCAGGAGCTCCCTAGTATCATCCACAGGTCACAAGTAGCAAAAAGCAAAAAATGAGATTTCTTTTCCGCTTGATGCTGGCTGTGATTGCTCTTGGCATGAACTGGTCTTTCTAACAGGCTCACCTTCACTGCACAAACCCCACTCCTACCTAGGTGAATCACGTAACTCAGTAAGAAATGAATGGTGTCAGAGGAGAGCCTTGGAGCCCACAGCCTTTTTTGTTTTGAAGGCATCACTTGGGATGAACCAATGGAGGGGTCCTGTAATGAAAACTGAGAACTTTTCCAGGAGGACACAGAATTGTGTAAGCCAAGCAGGCTTGTGTTTAAGCTACAAGTATGAAGCACATAGCAAAAAAAGCAAAGAACCCCAAGAAGAGGCCTGAATTCCATGTATCTTCGTGCCTCTAGAAAAGGGATTGGATTGTGTGGGCTGTCATGGGCTTTTTTTTTGTGGGTTTTTTTTTTTCATCTTGTCTTCCTTTTTCATTATCTTCCCTGGAGAAGAAAAAGAGGAAAAGAAAGCAATGGTGATGGATTCTCCCTCTGAGACAGGAAGAAAGGAGAGAACATTTGAGAAGAGGGACCCACCACCTACAAACTATGCATCAATAGTCAACAGCACAAAATGTCAAGGAATCCCAGGGAAGTGAAAAAACCTCTATTTGTCACTTTAATAATTTGGTTTGATTTTTCTCTGAATGTCACTTAACCTCAGGCTCTACACTGAGTCTGCAGAACAGAACTTCCTCTGCCATGCACGCTGCCTGATCAGTATTACACACTACCGATATTGGAGAAGCAAACTGTGGTGGTTTTCGGAACACTTTGAGAGTAAAATAATTATGTAAACTATGGAAAGAAGCAAAAAATTCAGAATTGTTAAACTCTAATGTTTCATTGTTTACTGAATTTTGAGTCTCCCACCCCAGAATTTCCCTATTTACGACATTCCAGACTGCCGCGCCTCTGTATAATACTCATCGTAAAGAGCTGGTATCTTACAAGAGCTGGGTGCATTCTCCTCCCTTACTATCCCACTCCCCCTCTCGGATTAGCTATTAACAGCAATGCCCATTGCAGCGGACACAAGCACCTTGTAGAAGAAAGACTGTATTTCATAAAGGTTTTTGAAAGTTTAAGAAAAACTCTCACTTTTTAAAGCATTTTTATTTTAAATTACAAAATGGATTTTAGAACTGTCTCTTGTAAATTATATTAACAAGCTCCTTGCTGCTCCCTGAAGTAGACGTGCTATTTCCCAGCCCTTTTTGTTTGTCGTGTTTTAAAGCATGCCATATAACCTATGCCATGTAAGCCATATGAGAGGTGGTAATATGTGCCAAATTGGTATACAGTTGAGTTTAGATTTGGATAATACCTGAATTCCAAAGATGATGCTTTTAGGGATTAGAGAACATTGTAGTTTTTTCCCCTCTGTTTTCCCTGGGTTTAGGACTCACCCAGAAATTCAGGTGTAGTGCCAAGGTCAGCCCTGGTGCAAGATGATGTGACTCGTGACTCTGTCCAACTTACGGCTGCTTGCTTGCTCCCCAGGTACTTGTTTGATAAGGCAGACTGTCAGCGTGGCAGTGCTGTCAGAGAAGAAACACCTCAGGGCAAACCCCTTGAATATAAATACAGCATTCCCCCCACCCCAGTATTTGTCAAATCAGGTTTGTGCTGTGCTTTTTTAAACTGAAGTCACTTTGCTAGGCCACAAATGTAGCAAAAGCAGAGAGAGTGATAAGCCCTCTGTCCATTTGTGTACACAGTTCAACCCCGATTTAAAGGGATCCTGTATGATGGTACGCGGCGTTCCAGCTGCACTGACAGTCAAAGATAGCTGCTGTAGTTTTGCCACCTCCTTGACTCATACACAAATAATGAGATTGTGCAACTCCCGTAAATCAGCTGTAGGATACTTACTGGGATGAATAGAAAGCTTGGAGTCGTGCCCCTGATTCATTGCAGCTCAACTTTCTCAACACTCCAGTACCCAGACTTCTGGTTTGAATCTGTGATGGTAGCCGAAGGCTTCGTTCAGCGTGCTCAACAGTCCCCCCTGGCTCTTGACTCCATGGTGAATGTTCATAAAGAGGGGTTTGGAAAAGCTTAGTTCCACATTGAAGCAAGCAGTGATTTTATATAAGTGGTGACAAGTGGAGAGGCCCATTAATAGGTCTACTGTATGGGATGAGGCTGGCCACACAGAAGACAAGGAAAAAAGTTGGCTCTGCTCTAGGGCCTGGCGTCAGATTCTTGCTGAAGCCAAGTTTGTCCTCACTTCTCATCTCTTGGGTACTGTGAGTGCATCAATGCTCTCTTCTCCACCAGCAGTTGTGGTAGAGTTGCTGAGCGCTGAAGGAGAAAGGAGAGTTTTATTCCTTGTCCTCTAGTGCTAGCAGAGCCTGAGCAGGTACAGCAAGCAGTCGTGAAGTGTAACATTGAGGCATAACCTCTTTATCCCACTGAGAGCTGGAGAAGAGCTAGAGTCTGCTGTTGTCCTTGCACCTGTGCCTAGCACCAGCATGAAATCACTCTGTCATTAGAAATAAGTGGAGGAGGAGATGTGAGAAAGAAGGGTATAATCGAGGGCTTGTTCTACTTCCTGCAGAAATGTAGTCGTTGCTAACTTCATGATGAAGTTCTTCACACCTAGAAGAGGACGTACTTTCTAACTCTCCAGACTTTGTCCCTAGAGGTCTAGTGCTCACTTGCTTACCTCTGTGTCTCTGCGTTGTTCTTAAGCGGGTTGCATTAGGATGACCCCAGAAAAGACTGAAGAACTCCCTCTCCCTCCCACTCCCTTTGGTCTGGGTCACTCTTCTCAGTCAGTCGTAAGTCTCTGGAAATGCTACAAGGTAAAGTGACTTTAGGGCAGCAAGGCCCTTCCATGCCCTGCAGCACAGCTATCGTCCGGGCACCGTTTCCCTATGAGAGCAGAAGTAGGACTAGTGTTCAGGGGTGAGAGACTCCCCACTAGGGAGATGACCCGAGAGACTCCCCACTAGGGAGATGACCTGAGTGTGCTTCAGAAGCATTTCTGTAATGTGTTCACAATGTCTGAGGAAGGGAGAGGAATGGCGAGGGGCCCTGGTGGGAGACTGTGGGGCAGGTGTTTCCGTAATGGTCAGCCCCACTGGCCGAATCTTTCCTCTTCTTTAGGAAAGCTCACACTCTGAGCAGGGTTGCATGGGAGAAGCTTGTGTCAGGAGTTTCCGTGAGGGGAAAGGAGATCAGTTGTACAGTTGATGATGTACATGATATATGCAGTTTTGTTTCTGGGTTGGTTGTTTTTGGGTTTTGTTTGTTCGTTTGTTTGGGGGTTAAATGATTTTTTTTTTTTTAAAAAAAAAAAAAAAAGGTTTTAGGAAACTCTAAGGGGAACCTGTAAATCTGACACCTCTATTTATTTTGCCTTATTTTAGTTTGCTACGTTTGTATGTATACGCTGCATTACAGCAAAGACTATTGAGACCGTGCCAGGGCATTACACCGGCTAGACAGCTGGCTTGGCCATTGCGCAGCAAGCTGAGCTCGGCAAGGGGATGCGTGTGAGCAGTCTTGGTGTGGGAAGGCAGGGAAGAAAAGATCTTCCCTTCCGCTTTTGTCATAACCACTCTGCCCCTGGTGATCCTGGTTCTGGGAAAGCATGCATTTTAAAGCATGTGGTAAACTGATGCAGGTTGGTTATTTTAGAATGCTTTCTATAAAACCTGTTTCTTTCTCATCATGAATCACGGTGAAAAGATTTAGAAGACTTAAGCTGCACAGTTGCTCGCTCAAACTTTACCCTGCCACACAAATTCTGTCCATAATGCCAGAGAAGCTTGGATAGATGGGCAAAAGCAGTTTGTGCCCTCAAACTTCTCACCAGAGTTAACACACTGGTGAGACAAATTGGGACAGTTCTTCCTCAGAGCTAGTATTCCTTCCTGTCTTCAAGGCCAAGGAAGAAGGATTTCCTCTACTTCCCCTCTCTTCTCCTCTACCCCGCCTCTCCAGATTATCCAGGGTAAACAAAATCTTTCTACTGGTTGGTTTTCTGCCAGTGGAGTCTGT